GCTTGTACCTGAATACAACTTGGTCTTAAAGGTGCCACTGGACTGTTTTGGATTGCTAACTATGGGTGGGGGGTGGAACGCGCAGATCTGCCCTCACAGAGTTGGGCCTCCCCTCCAGTGACCCAGATTTGAGTAACCGTCTGGAACCCCAACTTGTGGTAGACCTCATCTGTTGAGGTTCTGGTTAGGAGGATCGGGAAGTACAATCTGTATTTTGATTCTGATGTATTTTAATTGATTCTAAACTGTCATTTGCATATGTATATGGTTGTTCACTCGGTTTGATGGGACCTGCCTTTAGCCTGCTGTGTGGGCTGAGGGTGGGATATAAATAAATGAATGGCATGGGGGTCCCCCACGGGCACAAGCGCGCCCACCAGTGCCTTTCCTGGCGCCCGCCAAGTGTTTTAAGAAAATGGGTGTGGCCAGGGTGGGGCTTCTGCCGAGTGAGGCTTCAGATTGGCCCGTGGATTTTTTTTTTTGGTAATTTGTGTGTGTGCCTGGAAGTCACGGTTGACGTCTTGCGACCCCTAGTGGGGCTTGGACGTTTCAGAGAGGCGGCTTCCTATTGCCTGCCTCTGCGTCCTGGCCCTGGTATTCCTTGGGTGTCTCCCATTCAAGTACTTGCCGGGGCTGGCCCTGCTTAGGTTCCAAGTCTCGATGAGATCAGGTTAGCCTGGGCCATCCAGGTCAGGGCAGACATACATAAGTGGTTTGCCATTGCCTGCCTCTGCGTAGCAACCCTGGGCTTCCTTGGAGGTCTCCCATCCAAGTACTAACCGGGGCCGACCCTGCTTAGCTTCCGAGATCTGACGCTATCAGGCTTGTCTGGGCCGTCCAGGTCAGGGTAGTGGGGTTTTGATGGGCCGTGAAGATTTTTTTAAAAATGTGGTTTTGGCAGCAGCTGCTGCCACAGCACAAAACGTCTTCGTTGCGCGACGGAAGGCAAACTACGGCAGCCGTTTTGCGGCTGTGCCCACACGCCACTATGTCGAAATTCCAGAGGTGCCCGCAGGCTCAAAGAGGTTGGGGACCCTCAAATGTGGCGAAAAGGACATTGATGTGGTATATGATCACAACTGCTAGAATGACATAAGCTCAATGTTGGAAACAAGATAAAGTACCCAAAGTCGGGGAATGGATAAAGAAATTACTTTTTATGGTCAAAATGGACAAAATGACGAGAAAACTTAAAAATTTGGAAGCAGAAGAATTTTTTGAAGACTGGAAAGACTATCTAGAAAAATATTGGGATGTAAAGGACAATCTGCTTTGTTTCGACAATTATTGAAAGATAAAGGACATTAGATAAAATGTAAATTTATAAGAATAATAGATGAAAAATGAGTTACTGTAGAGTTTGAATTATTAGAAAGAAAGATAGGTGGAAAATTTAAGATATGGGCCGGAGGTTGGAGAACTGTGGGGAGCCAAAAAGGGGAGGGAGTAAGAAGAAAAAGGATGTATTATATACATTTTGATATGTGCTTGAGTTTTCATTATATCCTAATAAATTGTTTTTTTGGGGAAAAAAGAGGTTGGGGACCCTTGATCTCTACTATATAATAATCTTCCCTCCTTCTCTCGGTCTTCGAAGGTCTCACTCAGGCTCCAGAGTACCCTGGTGATCGCCGAGCACACAAATGAGACTCTGACGCCGATTACGTTGAACGCCGTCACTGCGGCAAAAAAGGTTGGAGGCGAAGTCTCTTGCTTGGTAGCTGGCACCAACTGCGAAAAGGTAAAAACAAACAAACAAAAAATAGCATCTGTATTTTGATATGGGGGGGGGGAGAGGAAGACTTGGTTGAGCAGACCAAAGGCTGCCTAAACATTTTACTTTTTCATTTTGGAGGGTGCACATAATGCGCTTCGCCAAGCAAGACCAGTGTGCTGATGACCACAGCATAGACGGCTTTAAAAGGAAATTAGGATTCATGGAGGATAGGTCTATCAATGGCTGCTAACCATGGTGGACTGAGGGAAACCTCTGTGTTCGGAGGCAGTCAACAGCTGAATGCCAGGGCCAGGAGGCAACATCAGGGGAAGACCTCGGCCTCCATGCCCTGTTGTTGTCCCTCCAGAGGAACTGGTTGGCCACTGTGTGAGACAGAAGGCTGGACTAGATGGACCACTGGTCTGATCCAGCAGGGCTCTTCTGATGTTCTTATGAAGGCCTTGGCCTCTGTGCCTTGTTGGCCCTCCAGAGGAACTGGTTGGCCACTGTGTGAGACAGGATGCTGGACTAGATGAACCACTGGTTTGATCCAGCAGGGTTCTTAAGTTATTAGGAAGGCCTCGGCCTCTCTGCTTTGTCGTTGGCCCTCCAGAGGAACTGGGTGGCCACTGTGTGAGACAGGATGCAGGACTAGATGGACCCCCAGTCTGATCCAGCGGGGCTCTTATGTTCTTATGAAGGCCTCGGTCTCTCTGCCCTGTTGTTGGCCCTCCAAAGGAACTGGTTGGCCACTGTGTGAGACAGGAGGCTGGACTAGATGAACCGCTGGTCTGACGTTCTTATGCATGCTGTTGGATCTTAGTTATTCTGAGCACCTGATTATGTTTGGTCAGAAGTGGATTCATCCAGCCCCAAAGCGGACCAATACCTAATTCATGCGGGGATGTCTTAATATTTTTATGCATGCTACAATGCCAGGCTTGGGAACCGAGTCTCATGTTCGAAACCTCTCACGCTTGAGGTGAAAAAACAAAGTGAAATCCCATCTGCGAAGATTAATCTAGAGTAAATGGCAGATGAAATTGGATGAGGGAATCCGAATCCTTTGTGTAGAAGCGTGGTTGAATTTTGAGTTTTGGGTCTGAGGTGGCGGTCAGGCTTTGGTTGCTTGGATGAGCGGGTTCTGAGGCCCAGCTGTCGAATTCTGAATTGGAACTGAGAAAGAAAGTCACTCACAGCCAGAGGTCGATTCGGGGGGGGATCGCGGGGGATCGCAGTTCCCCCGGGTGAGGTGTGGCGGGGCGGGGCACACGATGAAGCCCCGCCCCCTGCTTCCGGCCTCCCCGCTTCCGGCCCGCATTCAGCCAGGAGGAGGCAGGAGA